CTACTGGGTGCAGAGGCAGGGCCTAGGAATGAGATCTCCATTTACTTTGTAGGCTGTCTGACATTGGGACTAGGTAAGCTTTGGTGTCTTGTGTCTCTCTCCATATAATCAGGAAAATGGCAGATTTTACCTCCTGGTTTGGGGAATAAATGAGTTCAATAGAGGGTCCAGGCCATCAAAACTTTTGTGTCATTGTTACTATTTGTAGCCAGAGTTAGCAACATTTTTCAAATGACCAGGTAATGGGTGTTGCCCAATGTCTTGACTACAGGGATGTGATCTGAGAACCAGTCATTACACACACGCCTGCTCCTGATTATCACAGCTTATATAGACTAAGTCATGATGTCACTTGGGGACAGCTGTGGCTTGTGACCGATTTCACCCTCTTGGCTGGATAGTCTTCATTATGGCTATGTGCTCTGGCACAAAAACCATAGACAAATGTAAGAGATGTGCATGGCAGGACACGGTGGTGTGTTCCTGTAATCCCTGCACTCTGGAGGCAGAGGCAGAAGATCAAAGTTCAAGACCTTAAGACTTTCCTTGGCCTCTGCCTCTCTCCTCTCTCTCTCTCTCTCTCTCTCTCTCTCTCTCTCTCACACACACACACACACACACACACACACACAGAGAGAGAGAGACACACACAGAGAGAGAGAAGGACAGGGAGAGGGAAAGGGAGAGAGAGAGAGAGAGAGAGAGAGAGAGAGAGAGAGAGAGATGAATAAAATGTGTTCAAATAAAGCACAAGGCAGTGACCAGCCAGCCAGGCCCAAGCTCTTGTTACTTCTTGATCGGTCCCACATTGCCTTGTTCCATCAGGTTTTTCTCTCTAGACCAAGGTCAGGCCTGGAAAACAGGGGCAGTCGTCCTAAAGGGTCTTCCTTTCTCTGGGTCCTCTCCTGATGAGAGAAGCAATGGGCTTAGCCACTACCTGCAGCTTTCTCTGGCCCTGGACTCTGGAGCCCACTGTTTCTCCTTATGCCCTTTCTCCCTTTGCCTATGTGGATGGATCCATTTCTACTGGTTTTTACTAACTTTTGCACATCTTCTTAAGAATAAGCAATAATATCTACCATCTGAACCATTAACTTGCTTCTTTTCTATAGTGGTCTGGCCTTAAAGGCATTAGGGATCTGACTTAGAAGTGTTGAGGGCTCTGTCAGACCCATGCCCCTCCCTCTAAGTCTCCCTTAGGGGTTGGTATGGCTATAGGACCAAAAGAACCATGGACAGTGACAGGTGCTCAATTGCCTGAACCACAGACACCTGTGCATACACCTGTGCCGAAGTCTGAGCACAGGTGTTGGCTTCAACCTGGCTGAGAAACATAGCCATGGCCCAAGACAAAACCTAAGGCTAAGGAACTTGGCGTGGGAAGTGCCTGCCAAGCACACAGAGAAAAACTGTGGGAACAGATGTGACCTTGTATTGTCACGGCCACATACACCCAAGCCAACCCAAGTCACCTGCAGAGCTACTCACATGGTCCTCCTGCGGGATTTCTGCTTTGAAGAAATGCCTAAAATAGTGCCAAGGCTTTATCTGTAGGCCCCTCCCCTACAAAAAAAAAATCCTTCATTTCACAGCTGCTTTTGTAACAGAAACAGAAAGCCGGTGGGGCTTGTAAAGACAGCTGCTCAACTCCGACAACCTGACTCAGTAGAAGGAGAGAGCTGACTCCTGAAACTTGTACACACAGAGCTTCACACGCATGCTGTGGCAAGTACACGCCAGGCACACCACGCCACACCTCACCCCACAAAATAAATGAAAGAAATCTAGGCATAATGGTACACACCTGTAATCCAAGCACTCAGGAGGCCAAGGCAGGAGGATCAAACTTCAACACCAGCCTGGTTTGTGTTGTGAGAGGGAGGGAGAGAAGAGAGATCCATCACTGTTAGGAGGCTCCCTCAGAGCCAGCCCCGTACAGAAATGGCCTATGCAGGAATTTACCATGACCTCTAGACAGAGATGTTCCCATTCTGCCTTTGTGGGGTTTTGTGGGGTTCAGGTTAAGATGCTCGCCTGTTTTCTGATGTGGCCAAAGTTTCTCCCTATTAAAGGAAGCCATTATCACCAATGCTTAAGTATATCCACTAGAAGTGTCGGCACTTGAGGAAGGAGCAAAGCTCCTCCTGGTATGTGATTCCCGGTATGTGGGGGAAATATCTGTTTACAGTACCCAGGGAGTTTTAAAGAGATGCCTTTGACTAATTTTGAGATGTTAGACATCTCATGGAGTCTGACAGGCATCATGGGACTCACCTCCCATGGAGACATGATCATTATGTGGACACTTGGAGGTACGTTGGGTTCTTCATGACTCAGAGTTGACTTTTCTACTTGTCTGTACCAGGGACACTGCCTTGTAAGGGCCAGAGAGCAGACACCTTCACTTATGTGGAACAATAGCAGAAAAGTCACCACAGGTGATTCACAGTTGGGGTGCACCAGTTCTGCCTTATACTCTGAGTTCTCCTCTGTGGCTTCAACCAGGATATGTCAAAACTCCTTGGGGGGTGGGGGTTGTATGTGATGAACATGTACTGACATGTGTGGTGCTGGGGGTGGAACCATGGTCCCACATATGCTAAGCAAGCACTCTACCACCGCACTGCATCCCAGACTCAGGTTCTGACTTTCCTTGGTGTTATTCCCTAACAATACAAAGTAATAATGTGCATAGTTTTCTCTTTGCCTTGAGCATTGTGAACAATCCAGAAATGTATTACACTGTAGCAGAGGGTCCATTTTACATACAGGGCTTGAGCAGCAGTGATTTCAGTCACTGAAAAGAATCCTGCAACTAATCCCTGCATGAATATCAAGAGACAACTATATAGATAATGAACGTGGCTTTGTTTTAATAAAACTTTACTTACAAAGAGGACTGCAGCAGACCAGTGACTCCCTGAGGGAAAGCAAAGGATTTTGCATAAGACTTATCCCATAGAAGCTAGAAAGATGAATAAGACCAGAAAAGGTCTCTCAGCCCTAACAAAAACATCATAAAATTTTCTTCAGGACCAAGACACCTGGGGCTGGCTTGCCACTGGTCTAGTGCTGGGGGCTTTTGTTCTGATTTCCACATAGTAGGGATTATTTCTCTTGTAAATACATACTTTAAAATTTGGTGAGCGGCCGGGTGGTGGTGGTGGTGCATGCCTTTAATCCCAGCACTTGGTAGGCAGAGGCAGGCAGATTTCTGAGTTCGAGGCCAGCCTGGTCTACTAAGTGAGTTCCAGGACAGCCAGGGCTACACAAAGAAACCCTGTCTCAAAAGAAAATAAAAAAAAAAAAAATTTTTTTTTTTGGTGAGTGTTTTATAGCAGTTTAACTTGCTGTGTCAGTTTTCCTGTCTTCCCTGGTCTCTTGCCAGAGCTATGGAGACTGAATTCAGGCATCTGCACATGGTAGATTCACAGTTAGCCAGTAAGATTCCATCCAGCATGCTGAGAGCTCTTGAGGAACCAAGAGAGGAAGGGTTTGCTTGCTCCTTCCCACACTGGCTCCCATGCTGGTGGATAGCACCACTGTGAGCAACAAACTGCAGATTTGCTGCAAACATTTCCGAAGGTAAACATTCCGGGCAAACATGAGCTGCCAACCCAGATGTCCCCAAGGTGCCCTCAACAGGGCATCTCGGGAAATTATCATGAATTGAATTTTGAAAATTAAGTCTTATTAAATGCAGCAGAGATCCTATTAGTGAGAGAAACCACATGGCCAGTGTTCAGAGACACGAGGGGCCTGTGTGCTGAAGCCCAGTTCCTAAAAGATTTATCCACAAAGCTCAGACTTCACCTCTGCCTGACCCCTGCCACCTCTCCACTCGCCTAGCCACTGGGCTGCTGCTATCTCAGACTCATCGAATCATGACCACCTCCCTCTGGACCTACTGTGTCAGCCCCACCCTTTCTAATCCCTATTCCCTGATACCCAGCTACTGGCTCTTCCTTTCAGTAGAGCCTGGCTCTTCCCCATTTCTCTCCTCCCTGATCCACACAGACCCCCTCTCAGCAGATGGACAGGCACCGCTGTGGTTCCTGGACCTGCCCATTTACATATCCCTGGGGTCTATCCACATATAGAGACTAGAGCAGTCGACCTTTAAACCATGTTCCCCTAACATGCTCACCTGCCCTATATCTGACTGGTCACCTGCTCCATGGATTCCCTCTTTGTCCATCTGAACCAGGATGGCCCACAGCTCATTGCTTTCCCCTTACCTCATGTTCCATCAGGCCTCCCCGTGCTCTGTCAGTCCTCTGCTTTCTCTTTGGTCACTTGTTCTCCTATCCTTAACCCCAGGGCCTCTAGCCTCTATCTCTGCCTTATTATGACCTTTTTGTTTTTAACCCCTAAAACAGACATAGCACCATTGGGAACACAGATAAACCAATAGGTGAATGAACACCCAAGTCTTTGTTTCTATGTTTGTTTGTTTCAAAACAAGGTTTCTCTGTGTAGCCCTGGCTGTCCTGGAACTCACTCTGTAGACCAGGCTGGCCTCGAACTCATAAAGATCCACCTGCCTCTGCCTCCCGAGTGCTGGGATTAAAGGAATGCACCACCACTGCCCAGCCTAAGTCCTTATTCCTTGTTTTCCAAAAACAGTTTCCTATCTTGGCATCATGTGATGAAGCCACATCTATCATCCAACATGGTCTTGGACCCCAGATGTCAGCATCTGAAACCATGCCTCACGCATCACTGGTCCAAACACCAAACTCAGCCTTAGCCTTCCTTTCACCTTGAGGTTTTCCCTGACCCCAGGAGCTCCCAGGTGGCCTATCACCTCTTTGTTTTGTTCACTTATGAATCTCTGTAAGAGGCAGCAGGTCAGCACCAAGGGGTGACTCAATTAGAAGCTGAAAAAGCAATTCCCCGTGGAGGTTCCACTCACTCTGGTCCTGTTGGTGGTGCCTTCACCTATGGCATGTTTCAGGGTGGTTTTGATCCCTGATCTGTTGCCCTTCTCTCCTGTCCAGGTTGTTCCTGGTCATTGAGTATGTCAACGGTGGGGACCTCATGTTCCACATGCAGAGGCAGAGGAAGCTTCCAGAGGAACACGCCAGGTGAGTCCAAAAAAAATAAAGCGTGGCCTTGGGACTTTCCTCAGGAGGCCAGCAGTGAAAAGAAGGAGTGAGATTTGGGCAGAAGGTGGCAAAAATGAGACCCCTCGTGGTATAAGAAAATCCAAAGCCTCTGGGGGTGGGTGGGAATCTTAGGAGCTTTGTGCCCCGGGCAGGTCCCTCCCCAGACTTTGAGCAGAGGCCAGGCTCACTGGCTTTTAATTTTCATAACTGTGATGTCTTGGCTTTGTCCTCTTCCCTGTAAAGTCCACAATCCCTCAGCAGTAGAGTACAGCAGGCCTTCACTAGCATCAGGAGAGACTCCACAGTCCCATCTCGGGCCTCGAATAGCTGCCATCCAGCCCCCTGTCCTCATGCTTCTCCTGGATGGCCCCCTCCTACTTACCTTAGTTTCCCCCATGAAGTCCTGTGAGTCACGGAGGCCGCTCCTTGCTTGTCCACTTGCTTTTCATAAAACTCCTGGTTAAATGCACACAGTGTTAATGCTGCCACGTTGGCCAGATAGTCAAGTGCTGTGAAGCTGATTATCACCCTACTGTGCAGCCACTGGCACACACAGAGCCTCTTTATGTCTCACACTGGAACCATACCCTGTGAATGCCGACTCCCAGGCCCCTCATCTCCAGCCCTCCTGCCTGATTCCAGAGGGTGCCCTGAGTGGAATTTCAGATTATCTGTCTTTTTGTATATTTGACTTGGCATGATGTCGTCTTCGAGATTTACCATGTAGCCTGTTGGAAATCCTTTCCTTTTAAAAGGTTGAGTAATAATATTTCATTGCTCTGATAGAGCCTCTCCCTATCCCCATTCCTCTTCCTCTTCAGCAGGATTTGCTGTGTGACCCATGCTGGCCTCAAATCTGCAGCCATGAGCCACTCCACCCTTTACCCACTCATCCATCAGTGCTTACTTCCACATGTTAGATTTTATGAGTAAGGTTGCTATGGACATAGGTGTTCAACACAGCGCTTGAGGACACCCCCCCCCTTCTGATTCTTTTCTCCTTTCAGTTTTTAAAATCCACACACAGTGTAATGGATCTCATAACGGTATTTCCTCATATCCACTGTTCTTACTGGGCCTCCTCTGCTGACTCCAACCTTGGACGCATATGTGTTAGTGGTGTTGTTTGACACGCACCCTTTCTGGTTTTCATGCTTATTCTCTTGTTCGTTCTGGTGCTGGAGACTGTACTCGTGTAAGTGAGGCAGCTTACAGCGAGACTATGAGTGAGGCAGAAGCTTTCACACTGAGCTGCTCATGGCCCTAGCTTTCATGTTCTGAGAGAGACCTCCCTCTGGCCACATATTTCATTCCCACAACCATACACGGGGCATCCAGCGTTCCGAGTTCCCCTCACTTACTCTGGCTGTGGTTAAGCAGCCATTCTGGCAGTTGAGAGGTGGAATCTCACTACAATCTACGTTTGCATTTCCCGGGTGACCAGGATACCTCATGGGGCTCCGTGTGCACCAGCCACTGACTGGCTGCCTGCCACTGTCCCTCTGCTGACTACAGAATGCTCCCCTGCTCCCCGCCTCAGGTTCTATGCTGCTGAGATCTGTATCGCTCTCAACTTCCTTCACGAGAGGGGAATCATCTACCGGGACCTAAAACTGGACAACGTCCTCCTCGATGCTGACGGACACATTAAGCTGACGGACTACGGCATGTGCAAGGTGCCCGCCTCGCCTATCCCCCCAGCTTGTCTGCTCTTGACATCCTGCAGAAGTATTCACTGAGGGATCATAGCTCAGTGTGACCACACTGAGGCACCTCTATGTCAGTGTTCTTGAGGGACACCTCCTAAGAAGCGCCCCTCCTCATGAGATTCACCCTCCTGATAACTCTGTCCCCACAGGAAGGCCTAGGCCCTGGTGATACAACAAGCACTTTTTGTGGAACCCCGAACTATATCGCCCCCGAAATCCTACGAGGAGAAGAGTACGGTGAGTGTTAGCCATGAGGGAGGTAAATGTAGGCAGACACCTTCCAGAAGTCTTCCCAGCTGGTGACATTCACTCAGAGCAGGAACCTGCCTGGCCCACCCATACAATGGCCCTGGCACAGAAAATGGGGAGATATATGGCCATATTATACCCAAAGATAACACAGAACACCCCTCAGGGTATCCCAGCTGGTTACCCCTTTGCATACTTCCTGAGGCCCACCAGATGATGCTGAATAACACTCCTCTTCCTGAGGAGTCTTAAAGCTGGGGAGGAGAAAAAGAACATGAAGCAAAAGACAGACTCAGGATGGGGTCATAGCACCCCAAGTTGATGGCCACTGGCCATGCATATATGGAAGAAACAAAGTGCCCTTGGGAATAGTAGAAGTGCCTCCATCAGGATCCAGAGCAGAGGGTGATCTGGGCACCTTGTAGACATGATAGTGTACTTCCACTCCTCCTCCCCATGGAAACCAGTCATATGCCCTGAGGGCAGGGCATACATATACAGGTACATGTATGTGCATGAGATGGAGGGGGTACATAGCATGCAGTGTATGTGTGTGCATTTGTTTACCATGCACAGAGGCTCATTACACATATATGTGTGCTTGTGCACACACCCACTTTTGCATCCTGGCATTTCCTGCTGTGCAGGTAGGATTACAGGCATGAGCTGTCTATCCCTGACCCATGACGGTGACTCTCAGGGAAACCAGTCATAAATACACCATCACATAAATGAGTGTGGTAGGCAGCATGTGTGAGTTGCCGATCCAAGAGAATAACTGGGTTCCTAGAAGCTGCTTCCGTTGAAGTGGCTCAGTAACCAGAGAAGGAAAGATGGCAGCCTGGAGCCAGAAGTCAGTCTAGAACCCACCAGGGTTCTAACTGACCCTATTCTGTGTGTGCCAGAGCAGGGGACTGACTGTTCTAGAGACAGTAGGGACGGCCAGGCAGAGCTGAAGGCTGATCTTCCCTCCTGCTGCCTAAAAATACTTAACAGAGAGAGAGAGAGAGAGAGAGAGAGAGAGAGAGAGAGAGAGAGAGAGAGAGAGCGAGCGCGAGCTAGCTAGCTGGGCAGTGGTGACCCACACTTTTAATCCCAGCATCAGAAGTCAGAGTCTGGCAGATCTCTGATCAAAGCCAGCCTGGTCTCTATAGAGTTAGTTCCCGAACAACCAGGTCTACACAAAGAAGCCCTGTCTCAAAACAAAACAAAAACGATCTGGAGAGATGGCTCAGCTGTTAAGAGCACCACTTGCTCTTCCAGAGGTCCTGAGTTCAATTCCCAGCAACCATATGGTGGCTCAAAACCATCTGTCATGGAATCTGATGCCCCCTTCTGGTGTATCTGAGGACAGCAACAGTGTACTCACATACATAAAATAAATAAATCTAAGAAAGAAAAAAGAAGAAAGGAAAAAGTAGTGAATGCAAATACAGAGGAAATTATAGCAGTGTTTTCTCATCTCAGAGAAGGATTCTGTGAGTTCTGTGCGTTCTGGCAGCACCGGAGTTGGGACATGTGCTTTGCACGTGTGAACAAAGTGCTCTACCACTGAGCCACATTTCTCTGTGAGGAGCAGGCTTTGTAACTTTAAATCAAATCAGGAAAAAATGCCACCGGTTATGGTGCCATGCACTGGGAGGCTGAGGCAGGGCAGTCACAAGTTCGAGGCCAGCCTGGACTAAGTAGCGAGAGCCTATCTCTAAATAGTAGCGATAGGTAGTAAATGGTGACAGAAACAAAGGAACAAGGCCCGTCCTTGGTCCCAGTCTGCATGATCATGTAGCAGAGCTGAAGGGACAGGGACCGCCTGGGTGGCCCACAGTGCGGGTGAGGAATCACAGCTTCTGTGGGCACAGATGCCCGCACAATGAGTGAAGGGCGATCCAGCTACCCAGGGAGATGGATGCTGACTCTCTTGGTACATTCACAGTCATGGACCGAATGTGCCACTTCCCAGGCACCCCCTGCTTAGTGACTGCCTGCTTTCCCACAGGTTTCAGCGTGGACTGGTGGGCGCTGGGTGTCCTTATGTTTGAGATGATGGCTGGGCGCTCCCCCTTTGACATCATCACAGACAACCCTGACATGAACACTGAAGACTACCTTTTCCAAGGTTGGTGGCCCACGGTGTACCCACTCCCTCCTGCGTCTGCATGTTCTTTTCTTCCCTTCTCAGAGGTAAGGATGGTGTGTTGCCCAGGCTGGTGCTATGCCTCAGCACCAATACAAACATATACGGACCCATTCCTCTGGCAGAGAATGTAAAGTGAGGTGACCATAGTCCACCTCACCGTGAGTCACCTAGAAAGAGAATACCCTGATTTAGCCAGAGCCCCCTTCTCCCCACCCAGGGTATTCGCTGTAGCCCATGCAGGTCTCCCTTGCTCTTGATGAAAGAGTTAATGGTCATTGATATGCCCCTCACAGCTGTCCCTCGGCGCCCCCTGGTGATGGGTGTTCAGAGGCCTCCACATGCCTGCAACCAAAATGGAGTACAGGAGGAGCTATTGGTTCACATGCAGGCTATGTGATATGTGCAGCTGAATGCCACCAGGAGGTCCTAGGAGGACCCACCAGGCTTTTGGAAAAGGAAGGGGTTCCAGGGCTACAAGACTGAGCTCTGACTTAGAAATGGGGTTCAAGGGGCTGGAAAGATGGTTCAGTGGTTAGGAGCACTGACTGTTCTTCTAGAGGTCCTGAGTTCAATTCCCAGCAACCGCATGGTAGGTCACAACCATCTGTAATGGGATCTGATGCCCTCTTGTGGTGTGTCTGTGGAGAGTAACAGTGTACTCATGTAAAATAAATAAATCTTAAAAAAAGGAAGGAAGGCCGGGCGGTGGTGGCGCACGCCTTTAATCCCAGCACTCGGGAGGCAGAGGCAGGCGGATTTCTGAGTTCGAGGCCAGCCTGGTCTACAGAGTGAGTTCCAGGACAGCCCGGGCTATACAGAGAAACCCTGTCTCGAAAAACCAAAAAAAAAAAAAAAAAAAAATGGGAAGGAAGGAAGGAAATGGGGTTCAAGTCAGGTATGGGTCACATGGCCTTGTAATCCCAGCTACTCAAGTCTGGTAGGAAGGTCAGGAATTCAAAGCCAGGCTGGGTACATACCAAGATTCTGTCCCTGGCGGGGGGTTGGGGGGGGCCCACAAAATGAACAAGAGTTCAGGGGGTCCCCCCATAGGCAACCAGGAAAAGCAAATGCTGCCAAGGAGTCGTCTTACCTGGCCCCTGTCTTCACAGTTATCCTGGAAAAGCCAATCCGGATTCCCCGTTTCCTGTCTGTCAAGGCCTCGCACGTCCTGAAAGGATTTTTAAACAAGGTCCGCTCTTGGCTGTGGTGACAGACTATCTCTTGTGACCCTCTGGGATCAGGTTACCCATGGGATGGAGTGGGTGGACAGAGTCTCTCCAGTAGTGGAGCTGTCTATTATCAGCTGTCAGCTGCCCCCAGCTGTTCTGTGCGGCTGCTCATCCACTCTGACACTGGTGCTCCTGTGATCTTCGAGTTTAATTTTTATTGATATAACAAAAACAAACAGTGAGAAAGTAACCCAACAGAGGGAAGGTCAGACCCAGCTGGATACAAGACAGTGAGCCCCTGTGGGGGAAGTTGGGTCATCCCGTTGGGTTGAGGTTGAACCAGGGGTTTCCTTAGGAGTCCTGACTCATCCTCCTTTGAACTCTGACCCCCAGGATCCCAAAGAGAGGCTTGGCTGCCGGCCACAGACTGGGTTTTCTGACATCAAGTCCCACGCCTTCTTCCGCAGCATAGACTGGGACCTGGTAAGCCTCAAAGGTCACTCATGCTCCTTCTGTGAGGTTGGCCGATCTAATAGGCAAAATGGGCCCATGTGCACTGAGCTGCCTGGTATGTGGTGTCTGGTCATTTTTCTGTAGTGTTGTGGTTGGTTTTCCAAAGCTGCCAAGAACCTGATCCTGCTGTCACCTGTTACTGGACAGGGTAGCGCAGGCATCGACTCTGACCTGAGTCCATTCCTGTTATTAGGAAAAAAACTTCAACTTGTTTAAAACTAAACAATTGGAAAGTCTCTGAAATGTCACCTATAAAATATTATTCTTCCGGGCAGTGGTGGCGCATGCCTTTAATCCCAGCACTTGGGAGGCAGAGGCAGGCGGATTTCTGAGTTCAAGGCCAGCCTGGTCTACAGAGTGAGTTCCAGGACAACCCGGGCTATAAAGAGAAACCCTGTCTCGAAAAACCAAAAAAAAAAAAAAAAAAAAAAAATTATTCTTTTGAAGGAAAGTATAAAGATTAGCCCATTGAGTAGATCTGGAACTTGCCCAACTCTGGGACAGCAGACACCTTCTCCCCACCCCCTCCCTAGTCCCACCCTGATCCTTCCAGATGGCTCATGGCCAGCATTGAAGACTAGATTCTATCCCCACGAAGTACAGGATGTTGTCCCACAACCAGTTACTCTGTTTACAGGACTGTTTGTGTCTGTGGGTACTGGAAGGAATGGGGAGGGGCCAGGCCGCAGAGGCATCAAGCAATCAGGAAAGATGATAGCCCCAGAACCCAGAGCCAGGCTGCATTATTACATAATCAGAGCCTCAAGTTCTCTTCCTTTTTCAGGTATAAATATCTAGTCAGAATTCAGAGCGTTCACACTTTTTCTAACATTCATGTGTGTTTGTGCTCAGGTACATGGAGGTCAGAGGACAACTTCTGAGAGTCAGTTATCTCCTTCTACCATTTAAGTCTGGGGAAAACAAACTCAGATTCTCAGTGTTGGCAACAAAGTTACCTACCAAACCACCTCACTGGCCTTGATACTTCAAAAACAATTTTATGAGTTTTTAATTTCATCTCCTTGCCCTGGTAGCACCAGAGAGAAGCAATACGTTTATTTCTAACCTAGATGTTCAAATGCAGCCATTGCCTGACCAGGCCTGAGCTCCGTAGTGGCAAACTTTACCCACAGGCTCACTGCTTGCCCCAGTGTTTGGAACGGATCACCTCCACTCTGACACTGAGGCATGTACTGACCTCGCAAGTCCCTCAATGTAGTACGGGGAGAGTCCTACGTCATCTCTCCTAGCCACTATCCCCATTGCTGCTCCTCTGAGCCTGCTTCACTGGGGTCCACCTCATCTGAGCCTTCAGGATCTGAGTCCTGCCCCTGCCTCTGCACTCCCGCACGGTATCAGTAGCAGCCAGACCCTCATGTCCAATCAGTCTTCCCTCACCATACCTGAATGGATATATTACAGTGTCTCATTTCAGCCCAGCTCCCTCTAGGTTGGACAGCCATGTGGTTCTGAGCAGCAAGAGGGGCTGAGGAGGTCTTCCACTGCATCATACACATTGTACTGTAGTTTTTAGTACATCTTGTGGGCATGGAACCATTATTGCCAGGAGACTCACACTATGGGTTGTCATACCCACCTTGCCCTCCCCTCCCTGGCCATACCTGCCTGCACCTTGACTTTCCTCAACTCTCCCTTGAAAGAGGGCCGAGCTAGTAGGTGGCCTTGAACCTCAGTCACCCTTCACTTGGTAAGGCATCTTCAAGGCTCATCCTTGTCACGGTGATATACATGCCAAATGCCTTCATGGCTGCCTGCCGTCCCATTGCACAGATGGACCATGCATTTGTTCACTTGCCCACCGATGGTCACTTGGGTGGGACCCCAACTTTCCAGTTCTTAGGTTGTTGAGTGGCCGGCATAGCATGTCTGTTGGCACTCACGTCTAGTTTCTTGGGGATTTTCCCCTAGATGTTGAGATGGTCACTCTGTGTCCCACCTGCTGAGGGGCTGCAGTCCAGCATGAGCTGCAGGAAATGCAAGACTTCAGGACTGTCCATCTGAGGTGGGAGCACGGGCCCAGAGGTGTCACAGTAGGACACAGGGTGCTGGTCCCTGGTACTGACTGGTGCCATGAGGAAGGAGGTAGATTCCCTCCTTCCCAAATGTTCCCTCATGAGCCACACTGGGACAATACTGGAGAGGTTACTAATCCCAGCCCTTCCTCCTAGCTGAAAAGCATTGCTCTGTCAACACTGTGCAGCCATGGTGTTAACTGGTGCGTCTGTGTTCCTGGGCCTTGGGAATCTGCACAAGGCTAGCTGGCATGAGTATTGTTCAGAGGATTATAGTCTTGTCTATATGACTCTGCTATCTGTTGTCTGTTTGGAGCAAAAGGAGGCCAGGTTTGTCCCTGGCTCTCCCACCACCACCCCCCAGCTTGAATTTTGGAAGACAGAAGTGGCAGCCACCCCATAACTTGAGCCTCTTAGACACCTGAGCTGAGGAGATCTGAGCTCTGGAATAGCTTATGTGTGGGGTGAGGCCCCCGTAAGTAGCTGGGGAGTAGACTGGGGGATAGGAACCATCCACCACACCTACCTCTGGCACATTCTGTTCTAATGTCCCCCAGGACCATCCTCTACCCTGAGTCATGGGACAAGCTCAAGGCAGAGCAGTGGCTGCCCTTGCAGACCAGGGAGGGAGGTTCAAGCCAAATGCTGGATTTCTGCTTCAGACATGTTTAGTGGGATACCCTTGATAAATCACACAGGTGATACCTCTTCTGGGAACAGAGACACAGCCTTCACTCCATCCCAGAGGGTGACCCAAGGACTGTCTGCATGGCACAGCATTCCCTCATAGTGACCTTTGCTATCTACCAAATCCTTTAAGCCTCTCCTCTCTAGACTCAGAGCAGAGACCACTCTAGAGCTGGGTGCTCAGGGTCCTCCCTGGGCCTTAGCCAGGGGCTCCTCTGCCATTTCCCTCCAGTGCTCTGGAGAAAAGATGGAATCAGAAGCAAGAGCACTGCCAGCTGTCTGTAGGGCCTGTGGGACCAGGCCTCCTGCCCCTCCTCTGGGATGTGAGGGTAGAGCCATATGTTCCACTGAGCACACAAAGTCCACCATGGGCCATCCGGCACATCCCTCCCTGCCAAGTCTCCACCAGAAGGTTTGGATATTAGCATAAAGGCCATAGGAAAGTTTTGGACACTGTCCCAGGTAGAGATGTGACTGATCAGGAAATTGGTTCTGAAAGAAATGGGTCCATACATCAAAATCTTGGCTCCCTTAGGATGCTTGGCCAGGGCTGCTTACTACAAGGGTCTATCCATAGACTCTCCTTGTCTGGTACTCCATAGGGGTTTGACAGTATGTCAGATCTGTGAGGTATGTATCTTTGCAATGGTCCTAGTCCCTGACTCACCATGAACTGGAAAAAGCTGAAGCAGCCATCTGGGCATTGCTACCACCTGCTATCAAACCCAGTATGTTCCAGGTAACTGGCAGGTGGCGACTGGCCACCTTGAGGAGTGAGTCAGACTGTGGCTAAAACAAGCTCCCTTGACATCAGTTCCCACCGGTGAGAGCTGACAGGAAATTGATAGCCTCCACTCCTGCCCCATGTCAGTTAATTTAAATAGGTCCAGACCAGTGAGATAATTGCTCAGCGGGTAGAAAGCTGACAATCTGAGTTAAATTTCCAGAACTCATATGGTGGAATAAAAGAACTGTCCCCTAGAAGTTGTCCTCAAACACCTATACCTGTGCCATGCTTGCATGTGCCCACTCACAAATGTAATTTTTAAAAGTTTAAATAATAGGTCCAAGGCTTCTAGATTAAAAGTATTTTACTCCGGAGAGTAGAGCAAGTGGGAGGATAGACTGTCACAAAAACCTTCTGGTTTCTCAGGCATCCTGCCAAAGAAAAAGGAAAGGACGGGTCCATGATTGTGGCATGAGCCTGTGGCCAGGAGAAGAGGAAGATAGAGGAGGATAGGATGAAGGGCCACACTCAGGAGGCCCAGGCACAGGGTTCCAGAGACAAACAGGTTCTAGAGACAGTTATGGGAACCGTGACTAGGGGGAGTCACCAGAAATGGGATCACAACTGCTACTAGCCCCAGGCACACCTCCCCACCCTTGAGACTGAACAGGACCAGCACCCGTAACCCAGGACCAGCCTTCACAGCCTAGACTTCAGCAGGCAACAGTGGGAGCACCACCCAGGCCTCTGGGAAATTACTTTGGCTTGAATACAAAGTATCCAAATGGCAGGTGCTATCCACTCTAGCTGCTAGTCTCCCTGCCCACAACAGTGGTGGGAACTGATTCCCATTATCCCTCTGTGCTGGCTAGAGTATTCAGAACAGACCCATAGCTGACAGACTTAGTGCTACCTTCTCCCTTAGGCAGGGTCTCACCACTGTCCTGTACTCACATGTGCTGCCTTCTCTGCCATTTACGGTTTAGAGGTAGACCCTCCAGCCCACAGGGGAATGCACAGCAGTCAGGAGAGACACGGGTGTCACCACACGTCACCATGATGCATGTGGCAAGGAGTTCCCTGTCATACCCACACTCGCCTTCATTCATGCTTGGTAACACAGCCGGTTGAGTTCCACACAGCCACGTATGTCCCTAAAACTCTACTAGGAACTCCTGGGGTGTGGAAGGGGTTAAGTGTGGGTGGGTTGGGACCCCTGAATGGCAAGGCTGCAAGAATGAGCTCTAGGTGCCTCATCAGGGGTAAAGAGTCCCCCCTAGGTGCAAAAGGGCACTTGTAGAAGGTGCACGAAGTCCTCGTAAGTTACTCAGTCTTGGGTCTTCCATTGTAGCAGCAGGACTGCACTGGGACCCTGATTTGTCCTTACTTATCATGAACCCACCCAGTCCCCACACCTCTCCATCCATTTTCTCATTCAGTCACCCATGTATGCCATACTCCTCTGTTGGATCAGGTTTGTTTCTAAGAACTGAGGTGCAACTATAAGCCAGACACTGATCCCTGCCACAGAGCCATCATTAGACATACTAGGGAAATGTCATATCAGCTCCCACGCCAGGCACATAAGGCCCACATCCTGAGCAGGGCAGTGTGGCCCATAGGACAGATACCCACATTGTTCTGGGAATCATAGCCACCTCCCCCTGAAAGAGCAGAGTGAATGCCAAATCCTCAGGAATGCCTCCACTGTGTCATTACCCCGAGTGACCCAAAAGCCCTGCTTGATAACAGCTATATCTTTTGGCTGTCCTGGAACTCGCTCTGTAGACCAGGCTGGCCTCAAACTCAGAGGTCCACCTGCCTCCAGAGTGCTGGGATTAAAGCCATGTACCACCACCACCTGGCGTGAGTGTGAGACTGGGAGGGGGATTTCTTGCCACTTGCATCACGGTGCCATGTGGCAAGACAGACAGCATAGTCTCTCCTGATGCTGTTCATTCCCTGCTGGGCTAGAGGGTCCAGCTCAAAAATAGTAAAAGATGGAGATGACAGAGTTAGGGTGAGGGGAGGATTGAAGATGGATTTTCCCAGTGTCCATCTAGGTGGAGGTGTTGTCACACCTAAATACCATTATGATCAGGTTCTGAGACCAGAGAAAGAGAGCTGCTCAAACATAAGTTTTCAGCCACCAGTAGGAACATTGTTTCCAGGCACATGCCCGCACAAGCTTTCAGCTACCAGAAGCAACATTGTTTCTAGACACACGTCTCCAGGGCTTCTAGGTCCAGCACCTTCTTAACCTGGTTACTTTTCCTGGTATCGCATATTTTCTGTGTTTTAAGGGTGTGTGTGTGTGTGTGTGTGTGTGGCAGAAATGGCATTCAAATAGCAGGCATATTGAAAAGCTGAGCTTCCCATTTTATTTTGTGATTTATGTGCACACAAAGAACCGATGCAGGCAGAGGGGATGCTGAGCCCCCATCTGACCTCTCTCTTGTCAATGTTCCCAGCTGGAAAAGAAGCAGACCCTGCCTCCCTTCCAGCCTCAGATCACAGATGACTATGGCCTGGACAACTTTGACACGCAGTTCACCAGCGAGCCTGTGCAGCTGACCCCAGATGATGAGTAAGTCCTGGGCCAGTTCATGGCCCCATACTCAGGTCCCTGCCTCTAGAGTGTGGACTGGTGGGAAGGACGGTGACTGAGGGAGGGACACAGCCACCACTCTTCACTCTTTTCTTGTGTTTTTAGAGATGTCATAAAGAGGATTGACCAGTCAGAGTTTGAAGGCTTTGAGTACATCAACCCGCTTCTGCTGTCTGCTGAGGAGTCCGTGTGAGGCCATGAGCATCTCTGTTGTGGACACGCCTGTGAATGACCCTGTCACTTTACCCTTAACTACAGCATATGCATGCCAGGCCAGGCACCGAGGCTCCGAGCAGCCAGGGAGGGATGCTGGCCACCAAGACCACAGAGGGGCATCCAACAGGCACTTGTAGAGCAATCTCTTGTGTCCAGGCCCCCAGAGGCTGGCTTTGTGCTGGAGGAACCGCTTCCTGTGCCCACGGAGGCCCTACCAGAGAGTGAGACAGCCACACCGTTTTGAAAGGTGCACATCTTCCACAGAAACAGAACTTGATGCACTGACCCGCTCCAGGAAAAGTTAGCGTGTAATGCCCTGAGGAATAAAGTGTACCGATGATGTCGAAGCTTCCTCTGATGCCTTTTTTCTGTGGCACCCGCCTGATGTCCCCAACGCAGCCCCCACACGAGGAGGAGCTGCGCTTTCCGAGCAGGCAGGACGTAGGCAGGGGACAGGCACCCAAGTGCCTGCAGGGATGCGATGCAACAAGAATTGTTACAGATTCGGAACATTTTCTAAATCCCGGTAAGTTTTGTTGTTAATATTTAACAAGTATTTTCATACCTAGCGCAGCTAGCCATGGTAGACTGAGGACACCCTGGCCAGGTTGGTGGCACTGTTCCCACCAGCTGTTTGGACTCTGATGGGGGAAATTGGATCATAGAGATTCTAAAACATTGCTCACCAAAGCACCAGTAAACCAAATAAATAGGTAAATAAATAAAAAAGGGAAAATAATTGAAGACTAAATCCGCACAAAATATATTTCTGAAAACACTAGCCAGTGCCTCCAAGATGTCTTGTGTTATACATTAGATTTTTTGGAAAATATTTTTATCATTAATACTCTGATTAGGAAACTTAAAGACAACGTGTGTGATGGACCCTAGCCTTAAAGTGACAGACTACCCATAATCCCACACTCCTCCTGAGGAAACATGCCTGCTTCTTTAACTGCTGTGCTCAGCCATCTTCCTCCTCTTTAGGTTACTTCCAGAGGCCAGCCCAAGGCTTTCTGGGAAGAGGTCAGCTAACCCCTTAGCAGGTCAGGTATGGTGGGAGCTGTGGCTTACCCACCTCTGCGTAGGCAGGAGATGGAGAAGGTGCACCACAGAGTGACTGAGCACCCCAGGTCCACCCAAGCCAGGCTGGCCCATATGGCAAACATGCTACACACCCCCAACCCTGCCAGATGGAGACCCTGAGTCTCCACATCAGGCAGAATGGAGTCTGGGCTCCTGTCATATTTGTTTCATGCCTTGGGGCTGGTGGCCCTGACAAAGATGAGTTAGAGAAAATGAAAATATTTAGAGGCGCTGTTACAGTGCTGCCCTGCTTCTCCGTGACTCCCAGTGGCCGCCCACAGCCCTCACCCCAATACACTCAGGTTTCTCAGGCCATTGCCATGTCTGGCACTGAACACGTCAGAGCCACACCCAGATCCATGGTGCTGGGACAGAACAGGCAGCCCAGGTTTCTGACACCATATCCCAAGTCCAGGCTTCTGGGTGGCTCTGTGACTCCTATTGAACATGGACACATTTCAGCCAGCACTCCCTGTGTCCATGTCCCCAACAACTAGTCAAAAAATGCAAATAGAGCCTAAGAGCCAATTATTGGGCCTCCCAGGGGTACCCAGCCCAGCCTGGGAGACCTCCCAGGGGTACCCAGCCCAGCCTGAGTGCCTCCCAGAGGTAACCTTCCAAGCCTGGGGGCTCTCCAAATGTACCCAGCCCAGCCTGGGGGCTCTCAAGGGGTACCCAGCCCAGCCTGGGGGCTCTCCAGCCTAGCCTGGGGGGGTCCAAGTGGCTGGAGCTCCAGTCTGAGGCCTGTGCAGTCACAGCTGCCTATGAGTTGAGCTGCTAAGATAAAGAGCCTACAGATGGTCCAAATGCAAATGGGCTCCTGCAAGTCCTTTCCTCCTAGTGTGCTGCCTAGGGACAGCAACAACTCCTTTGCCTAACCAGCACAGGGACCCTTGGTTTGTTAGACATGGGGGTGTTTATTTGGATACTGCCCCATTGCCAAATGACTTGCTGGTTACTGGTTCGGCTGCTCATGTACAAATGTGTGAATAATATTGTGTCCACCAGAGGGGGAGATTTTTATATATAGCAATTTGTTTTATAAATTAAAGAAAGTGAAGGATGTTATTGAAATGTGACTTGGGGGGGCGGGGGGTGGAGGAAATATCCTAACGTTTGCAAACGGCTCCGGGCAAGAGAGCGTGTGTCTTTCGAAAATGGTTCACAGACACTGGTGACTTCATGATTGTAACGCAGTAACCATGTGGTTTTGTACAACTGATCAGTGGAGCCAGCGTTCCTTCTGTGGGCGATGTCCTTGCCCTCCACGGCCAAGGTCGTTCTTACTCTTGCACATCTATTAAAGACTTTGATGAAAATGCCCTTCCTGTTATTATTTGTATTCAAAGTGGGTATTTGGGGAAAGCAGGGGGTTTTATTTCTGTTTTCCTAAGTCTCTTCCTAGGGTAAATTCAGGTTCTCAACACAGAATGGGTGTCCCGCACACCCGCCTGCTCAGTGCCCATGGCCCCATCCCCGTGACCTGAGTCTGTTCCATACATGCCCTCTTCTTCTACTGAGGAGGACTCTTTTCACCTGGTCCCGTGAGACCAGTCTCTGGAAACCCTCACAGATAACCCAAAATAATATTCTCTCATATTTTCAGAAATTCCTCATCTAGTTAACTGGCACTTTCCTAAAGAAAGCGTGTTTTAGAGGTTTGGACAGGTGTGCCACTACAACATCAGACGGCACTGACATGCACGCATGCACACATGCTCTCCCAGCTCTGGGCCCTCCATAGCTTTACTTTCTGAGGTCATAGTGTTGGAATTGCAGTTAGAAAAGTGCCAGGCTGGGGCTGGAGAGATGGCTCAGTGGTTAAGAGAACTGACTGCTCTTCCAGAAGTCCTGAGTTCAGTTCCCACCAACCACATGGTGGCTCACAACCATCTGTAATGGGATTTGGTGCCCTCTTCTGGTGTGTCTGAAGACAGCGACAGTATACTCTCATACATAAAATACATAATTCTTTAGGAAAGTTTCAGCTAATTGGTTGAGGAATTTCTGAAAATATAAGAGAATATCATTTTGGGGTATCCGTGGGGTTTTCCAGAGACTGGTCTCATGGGACCAGGGGAAAAGAGTCCTCCTCAGTAGATTGTTTAGCCACTTACATCAAAGCTCCAGGCTTGGTCTCCTCCCTTTCCCTGGGACATACTTCAGACCCTCTAACTGAGACCCACAGCATTGCTGACCCTGCTTCTAAGCCTTTCCCTTAGATTGAGTCAGCTGCCAGCAGGCCAGGATCTCCATTCTGCAGGTAGCCTGTCAAACTCTCTTCAGCCTGTGACCAGGGAGTCCTCTCTCATTTGTGTACACTTACCTCTCAGCTGTCCTCTAGGAGAACCCTAACAACACAGCAGCCTTTTCAAATGTGCCTTTTCACCTGGCCACACAGCTAGTTTTTTGGGAAGAGGGGGTTCTAGGCATGGCGTCCAGGCCTTACACATGGCGAGTCCTCACCCAGCACTGTGATACACCACAGCCCCTTCATGTGTTTTGTGGTTTATATGAAGCCCTTAAGACAGAGTCTCTTGTAGTCCAGGCTGGCCTTGGATTCACTATGTTGGAGAGGCCGGGCATGAGCTCCCGATCCTTCACCATCACCTGCTGAGGTTACAGATGCAAGACACCACACTGAACTCATTGAAACCACTTTTGAAAGGAAAATACAGATTTTCTGGTTATCTTCAGCTTTCAGACCATGTCTGTTCCCAGCTTCAGGCCAACACTTGTCTCCATACACAGGCAAGCTTAGTAGGGCACATTGCAATCCCAGCACTTAGGAGGTCCTTACAGGAAAATCAAGTTGTCCTCTGTCACAGAGTGAGTTAAAAACACAAGGGGGGGGGAGGGCCAGGCCTAAGTGGGTGTCAGAGCCCACTATTTAGAATCTGGACTTTATAGCATAAGAAGAAAACAATGTAAATTTGACGTTATGACAAACTTAACAAGCCAAAGCATGTGACTCACAAGGTATGGCCCATATCTCCCCCTTACAGTGTCTTCTTCAGGAACCACTTTTGATGCTAACTGAAATAGCTATGAGCCCTACCTCAGCGATAAGGAGATAAGGTCACAGAGACTCTACATGCTGTACCTGCCAGGACATATTTCATTCCTCCTCATATCAGGCTAGAACTAGGGGTTGGTTCAGGCTGGGCAAATGCTATACCATCAAGACACTCCCCAGCCCAGGTAGACAACATACTGCCATCTTAGTCCTGGAAACCAAGGACCCAACATGGAGAGTTCTGGTGACACTGAGAACAGGCATTTTGCTATATCCCAAGTGATAGTGGTTTCTGTCCCCCAAGGCCCCTTTGGTAAGTACACAGATCCCCTTGAGGAAACTCCACCCTCATGATCTATCACCTCCCAAAGGCTCTATCGTCATCACTGGGGGGGAAAGACCTCAGTTCAGTAACTGAGGGATGAGCCTCAGCCTGCAGTGCTGTTTCTCAGTGGAGAGGTGAGTGTGCTGAGGAAGATAAAAACCTAACTGAAGGTCTGGAGAGATGGCTCAGAGGTTAAGAGCACTGGCTGCCCTTCCAGAGGTCCTGAATTCAATTCCCAGCAACCACATGGTGGCTCACAAACATCTATAGTGAAATCTTGGGCCCTCTTCTGGCATGCAAGTGTACATGCAGATACTCACACATTAAATAAAACTCTTTTAAAATATGACTGGAGGGTCTACCAGGATGCTTCAACAGGTGAGACACACTGTTCCTACAGAGTCCCAGCAGTTCACAGCTACCCACAACTGTAGCTCCAGGGGATCCAATTCTCTCCACTGGCCTCCAGGGGTAACTATATTCACATGCACGCATCCCTACACAGATGCATACAACTATACACAATTATCTCCTTTTAAAAATGTTTGTGGAAGCCGGGCAGTGGTGGCGCATGCCTTTAATCCCAGCACTTGGGAGGCAGAGGCAGGCGGATTTCTGAGTTCGAGGCCAGCCTGGTCTATAGAGTGAGTTCCAGGACAGCCCGGGCTACACAGAGAAACCATGTCTCGAAAAAAAATAAATAAATAAAGTTTGTGGAGGGCTGGAGAGATGGCTTAGTGGGTAAGAGCACTGACTGCTCTTCCAGAGGTCCTGAGTTCAATTCCCAGCAACCACATGGTGCCTCACAACCATCTATAATGTGATCTGATGCCCTCTTCTGGTGTGTGTGAAGATAGCTACAATGTACTCATATAAAATAAATAAATCTTTTTAAAAAAAAATGTCTGTGGAACATGACCCAGTATATCACTCTTGTGGTCAGGAAAAGGTGATGCCAGGCTACAGATGTTGATCTGGGTAGAAATGCTCAACCCAGTTCTACCTTGTGACAGATCCTGGCGCCCCTGCCTGGAGGGGTTTATTTATTTTTTCTTCTTGCTATGACAAAAGACTGGAAAGCAATTTAAGATTTATTCTGGCTCACGGTTGAAGGTGCAAGTCCCTGCAGCAGGGAGGGCACAGTAGCAGAAGTAGCTATAGCTGCCGTGGCAAGTAAGAAGTATTCAATTTCTCCCTTTCCCCTCTTCAATCAGTGGGACCCCAGGCTACGGTGCCACCCACATTCAAGTGGGACTTCCTTTCCCAGTTAATCTCTGGAAACAGTTTCACAGGCACACCCTGAGATGTGTCTCGTAGGTGATTCCAAATCCAGTTAGGCTGACAATGAAGATGAACCCTCGGAGGATCTGCTGCCTGCTGTCAGTGACCAGCATTATGTCCGTTGCCCATGAACAAAACTAGAAAAAGACAGTACTCAGGTGTCCACATGAAGAAGCGGCCGCACCCAATGTCGGTGTGTATGCCTGAAGGAGAAGATACAGCAAGGCGCCCTGTAGCTCACCATACCACATCTTCTGTGCTTTCAGCCAAGCACTGAGCAAGGTGGCTATCCACATCTACCTGGGTCATCCTGCAAGAGAGAGAAGACAGTCATGAGGTAGAGGAAGGGCCTCCACATAGTTCTGAACCACTGAGAAGAGTCCTGGGCTCTTCCATGGCTGGTCAGCTGGAGGGAACAGCAAGCAGGATTCACCTCATAATAACCTTATTAGGTCAAGCTAGCCGGCCCACCACCACCACCTCTCCCTCGTTACCTGAGAACCCTTCTCTAGGCCAGAGATTTCTTAGTCCCATAGACTCCTACCACCCTGACCAGTGTTTGAGAAGTTCCCACACCATCTGTTGTCTCATTCATCCCGGCCCATGCTTAAAGCTAGCCCCAAAGGCTCTCTGGGGCCAACAAGCTTAACTCTCTGGCTCAGGGAGTTAAGCGCTTACTGCCAAACATAATGGGTTCAGTCCCTGGAACCCACATGATAGAAGAAAATTAAGTTTTTCTCTGACTTCCACACTTATTGTACATACATACACACATACACACACACACACACAATGTAATTTAAGTTTTTAAAAAAAGCCAGGTGTGACCGGGCGGTGGTGGCGCACGCCTTTAACCCCAGTGCTTGGGAGGCAGAGGCAGGCGGATTTCTGAGTTCGAGGCCAGCCTGGTCTACAGAGTGAGTTCCAGGACAGCCAGGGCTACAGAGAAACCCTGTCTCGAAAAACCAAAAAAAAAGAAAAAAAAAAAAGAAAGAAAAAAGAAACTCACTTTGTAGATCAGACTGGCCTCAAACTCAACGGAGATCTACTTTCTCTGCCTCCTAGTACTGGGACTAAAGGCATCTGCTACCATGTCTGACTAGGGAGTATTTTCTTGATGTGAAAGGACCAAGCCTCACCATGCAAGATTCAGTCACATGGCCACAGGCACTACATTTCTGGAAGGCCCATACAGCACCTGTACCTCAGGAGTGCTGGGCCAGTGGCCTGGGAAAGGGCATCACAGCCAAAGAACAAGTGTAGCATATGGACAGGCTTTCCATCCCTGACTTTGTCTGCCCACCAGAGGGAGGAGGTAACCCAGCTAGGGTGGTCAGTAGAACTGCCAGGACAATGCTCAGCAGTGGCCATCTCTTAAATATCACCACCAGGACATGCCCCCAGAGTGGCTAAACTTACTGGTCTCTGCTCACAGGGCCCTCCTTCTTTCGAATACCCTATAGCCTTTCATCCTCAGACAGTAATCCACCAAGCAACACTCCTCTCTCAGACTCTGTCTTGCATCCCTCCCTATAGCTCCTGAAGGCACATGACCACCACAATGAGACCAAATTTCAGACAGTCTCATCTGAGCCAGTCAAAGCAGGACTGCCATCTCCCAATGTAGAATAAACCCAGAACCCTGTGAAAAACTCTTATCACAGTGCCCTGTGTCTCTCAGCAGCCAGCTCACCTTGTATGTGCTGAGGCTGGTGAACTTAGCCACAGAAGTCCTCAGGTGGGGAGGTCACAGATCCCGAGGATCCTCTGGATATACTGCTGGCCAACCAGGTACCCATTACTTGCCCTCATAGGCTTCCCAGGGTATGGCTTGCTCACTGCATCCTAGGTGATCCAGATCCAGATCGATGGACAGAGAATGGACAACAAGGTCCTTCACCTAACCTGAGCCCATATCAGATGCCCCTGTGACGGCCCTGTGACTTCCAATGGCTCTCTCAACTGGCAGTGCCAAAAAACAGTCTTTTAAGTCCATGAAGCCAATGCAGCTGAGGTATTAACACTTCCCTCCCTACAGCTATCTGCAAGGCACCTCAAGGTTCCATGTGGACCATCTGTCGGGAGTTTCCAGGTGTCATTCCTCAAGTAGGTTCTCAGAGATTCCTCCAGATACCACCCTACAGCAAGAACTATTTCTGTAGCACCCATCTGACAGCTAGGCTCCTGCTAACTCCTGGACACAGCTCATCCCTGGCTATAGCAAACCAACATAGATTCATTCCAGTTTATGAATGTACCATTAGAGTCACAATCATGAGCCAGGCATGATACACACCGGTTATCACAACTACTCTGAAAGCTAAGGCAAGAAGACAGCTTGGCCTCTGATGTTTAAGGCCTAGGTTACATATTGAAATAAAAGGGCAGAGGGACAGACAACTGGGGGGTTATGGAGGACAGATGAACAGACAGACAGACAGACAGACAGAGACATGCAGAGACAGAGACACACACAGAAAAATCACAACCACCACTATATTAGTAAAGGTTTGGACATCTCCATCTGGTTTTCACCGGTTGCCTATCTGACACATAGATATCAGAAAATACAGTAGTTTCCCTATCTGTGGGTCCTGTACCTTCAGATTCAAAAAATCACAGATAAAAAATACTTTTAAAGCCGGGCAGTGGTGGCGCACACCTTTAATCCCAGCACTTGGGAGGCAGAGGCAGGTGGATTTCTAAGTTCCAGGCCAGCCTGGTCTACAGAGTGAGTTCCAGGACAGCCAGGGCTATACAGAGAAACCCTGTCTCGAAAAACCAAAAAAAGAAGAAAAAAAAAACTTTTATAAGCGACTGTACTAAATATAAAGACTCGCCCTTGCAACTGTTCCCTAAGCAATATAGAATACCAGCTGCTTCTATAAAGCTCAGAGACGTCGGATCTATGAAGTAACAACTGTTTTCTGTAAAAGGGATTTGAGTGTCTGCAGGCTGGTAAGCTGGGGGGTACCGCACCCAGTCCCCAAAGGTGGGGGAAGACTTATGAAGTATCTGAATAGAGCAGCAAGATCTTGGAATGAGCTGGGCGGTGGTGGCGCACGCCTTTAATCCCAGCACTTGGGAGGCAGAGGCAGGCGGATTTCTGAGTTTGAGGCCAGCCTGGTCTACAGAGAGAGTTCCAGGACAGCCAGGGCTACACAGAGAAACCTTGTCTCGAAAAACCAAAAAAAAAAAAAAAAATCTTGGAATGAAGAACACTGTATGCAATTCCTAGTATCTAATTCCTGCCACCTTTAGGAATAAAATAGTGCCCTGCATGGCTCACACTGGGCTAAAGGAAGGAAAGAGTGGTGTGGCCCTCCCTGAGGGGCACCCCCAGGTTCACTTGTGCCAGCTCAGCTGGGCAACAATATCTGCACAGACTGCCCTCAGAGGACAATATGACAGCTCATTGTGTAGAGCTGACCTGCCCAGAGCCAGTCTGCCTCCTTCACAGATCTTGCCCATTGTGACAACATCCCTTCCATTTAAGCCCCAGAACATTCCTGTGGTGGAGCAAGAATGGAAGGGAACTCCTTGAAGACTATGGGACATGATTGCTCCCCAGTCAGCCTGGTGATCTGGCTGCCACCTCAAGAGAGTCTAGTCAAATACATCCCAGTTCCTTTATAGTTCAAAGCGAAGATGTTATAATCACTCCAAACTTGCTAAGACTTGAGACTACCTTGCTCACACCTACTTTGGAAAACCAAGGCACTTTGCCAAGCCTTCATACAGCCGATTGCCAGTGGATGGAGTGTCCCTCGTCAATGGCCCTGTCTTCATGAGTTTTTTTTTTTTTCTTAGACACAAAGACAGAACAATCAAAAAGCTGTCCTGGAGTGAGAGGGGAGTGGGGGCCCTGACAAGATCATAAATCTGATGAGCTCTTTGAGAATGAATTCCCCAAAAGGGTTAGAGCCCTCAGCTTTTGCCCTTGGGTCTCTTGATTGGTATGAAGCACAGAGGGGTCAACTTTACAAACCATTCACCGTCCTGTGAACAGGACCCCACTTGAGGACAGCCATAACTTGACTCAACATCTCCTTGTCCGAGTAGAGATAGCTGTTGTTGACGGGTGGGATTGGGGATCCTCCCAAATTCATAAAGGCTCTATTCTGATTTTTTCTTTTTAAAAAAAGGCCACATTTTGGAGGTTAGGAAGATGGCTCACTTGGTAAATTACCTTCTATGCAAACATTACCAATGTAAAAGGCTATATGCATTCATACCCCAGGTACTGGTGGCAGGACAGGTGGATCCTGAGCTCAATGGCTACACACCATAGCCAAATCAATGAGCTCTAGGTTAAATGAGAGACTCTTTCTCAAAAAATAAGGTGGGAAGTGATCAAGAAAAAACTTGACCTGGCCTCTGTGCAGTGGGCACCTCTGTGCACAAACCCTCTGAGCATGTAGATATACTACACAAACAATAAATACACGCACCTTTTTTTTTAGTCAGGGTCTCTCTACACAGCACTGACTGTTCTGGAATTCACTATGTAGACTAGGCTGGCCTGGAACTCAGATGTCTGCCTCTCAAGTGCAGGGATTAAAGGCACATAAGCTACCACTCCTAGCTCAGCACAAAAAAATTTTTTTTAAATCATTTGGAGGAGCCTGTTGGGGTCTGAACTAGGGTTCCACCTGCCTATGTTCTGATAGCTGTTTAATCAAGCTAACTTTGTGCTTGATTAAACAGGACTAGCAAGAAGGCTCAGCAAATAAAGGTACCTGCTGCCAAGCCTGAGGACCTGAGTTCAATCCTAGGACTCACGTGGTGAAAGCCAAGAACAGATTCCAAGAAGTTGTCTTCTGACCACCACATGTATGTGTGCCATGCACACATGTACGTAAATGTTTATAATTTAAAAGTTAGTTATATAAACAAAAGGCCAGAGCCACTTCTAGGCACTCTTCTAGCCTCCTAAGTCTGTGGGCTTTATATCTGGTTAAGCCTTAAGCCTGAGGTCTGGGGTGGGACACTCACTTGGGGTCAAATGCCTTCTGGCACAACGGGCAGCTCAGCAACACAGGTGGACTCTGCACAGGCACACACTCCTGGGTTCTGGGAGTCTGATGGGGATCCAGCGCAGGGCATCCTTTCGAGGATGGAGTAGGTGACCCCAGGGAGCTTTCAGGTCCACGGAACAGGTGGTAGGAGCTTCCAGAGCCACGAAGGGCAGGTGGAAAAGGCGTCCAGGAAAAAGTCTTTGGTCCCACAGTGAAGACCTCAGGAGGCACAGTGGACTCTGGGTCAGGCAGAGACTCCTGAAAAGCAGGTGCCCATAAGGACATAGCCACCAACACCATGACCTCCTCAAGGACCTGAGAACCCTCTTCTCCCAGGTCATTCCTCTTTAGTGCTTTTGGACACACCTGGCTGGGAAAAGCAGGCAGCGGTGGTAATGGCTGACTGTTCGGGGTCCAATCCGCGTTCCCACTCACGGTGCTGCGCAGCAGAGCAGCCCAGGGCTCATTCTTACTTTCCTCCGACAGAAACCAGGGGCGGCAGTTAGGGGGCCTGGGAAGCATAAGAAGGGTCAGCCGGGGGGTGCATGGTAGAGGTCACGAGGGGTTGGTTCTACAATGAAGGGTAACAAGGCTCGGGGTGGGGAGCAGGTCCACAGTGGGGTAATGGAGGAGGGGGTCCATAGTAAGGGAACAGAAATGAGCCTCATGTTGAAGCGTAAATGGACTCTAGGGGGGAAAGGAGCCTGGAGCTGCGAAAGGAGAGGCCAAATAGGCGATGGGGAGAGGGGTGGCGGAGGTGGGGGGACCGCAGGGTTGGGGTGGAAGAGGTGACCACGCCCGGAGGGAGGCGGGGCGTGTCTGGTAGAGAGATGCACGTGTGCGAGGAACCACGCAGCTAGGCGGGAACATCGCGGCGCCCCCGTCGCCTTCCCGGGATCCCAGCGCCTTCCAAAGCCCCCAGGACCCCATCCCTCGGCTCTGTCCCGCCTCACCCGCCCCCCGCAGGCGGCCTGCGGCGGCTCAGCCTTCCCCGCAGCCTCCGCTCCTCCTCCATGCTTCTCCAGACAGCGTCCGGCGGAAGTGAGACTTACAACCCGACCCGCCCTCCGTCCCGAACCAGCTCCCGCCGCTTCCAGATCCCGCTTTGCCAAGTGCCAGCTCCCCTTTGTGGCTCTGAAAATCTAACCGTTAGGGACAGGAGACTGCCGCCTTGAGGGAGAGGCGGGACAGGGTGGAGCTGCCCTCTAGTTTGCAGGAGTGCGAGACTGCGGAGGGTTTGGATCCCACCCGACCCTGTGCAGGCAGCCTGGAGCCTGAGCTCCCTTACGTCAGCACGTGCTGTCAGGCTTGCCCTACCGATGCCATTTCCCAGCGGTACTAGACAATGCCCTGCCTCAGTTTCCAGTTCTGTAGCCTTTTTCAGGAGGGCCCTGTGGACAGGGCCAATTTCCCAAGTCCAGTTTTGCCGTCATCTTCTTCTTATAGGAGGAACTGGGTTTCTCTACCAAAGAGAGAGGCAATGAAACCGCAAAGCCCAGGGGACGAAAGCTCAGAGTGAAAATCCCCGGCTTCTTACCTAGCCAATAACCTGCCCTGCAATCCTGCAGCCTATCACTTGGTGGCAGCAAAAGCCCGGGCACGTTGATGTACGCATTGGGATTAGCTAGTAGCTTTCTGCTTCACAGCCCCCAGGGGTCAGGGCCGTTCCCAAAAGCCGGTCCTGCAACCATCTGACTCCCTGACCCTTTTCCTGAGTCTTCCTCCAGTCAGAACTTTGCCTCCCGTCCTCAGTTGTAAGCCGAGTTGTAAACAGAAGTACCCCCACCGTACTTCCAGGTTCCACAGGCTGGAAATTGTGTCCAGGCCAGGTTCTGGGGATGAATTCTGGACTGAGGTTGTCTTCTATCTCCTCAGACTTGAAGAGAATGTGCAAGTTAAACTTCCTAAGGATCCGAGCACATGTATTTGTGCCGTATGCGTCTGGTGCCCACAGAGGTCAGGAAAAAGTCTCGAATCCCCTAGAACTGTAGTTACAGACAGTTGTGAGCTACCATGTGGGTGCTGGGAAATGAACCAGGAGCCTTTGCAAGAGCAGCAAGTGATCTTAAATCATCTCTCCAGCCCCCATCCAAACATTTTTAGAACCAGAGGAGGTAGAAATAAAGTAATGAGCAGCTCAACACTACTGAGGGTACCTTGTCCCAGCTGTCTGCGAAGTATTACCAAGGAAGGCTTTAAAAGTTTAATTTGAGCTATGCTGGCACGGACCTTTCACCCTAGCACCCAGGATCCAGAGGCAGGAGGGTCTCTATAAGTTTGGTCTATGGAGTGAGTTCCAGGATGGCAGGGCTATGAAAAAAGATCCTGTCAGAAACAAAACAAAAAGTTGAATTTGGTTTGGAGAGATGGCTCACTGGGGGCCTAAGGTCAGTCCTCAAAACTGATGTGAAACCATGCAGGACAGTACAAGTCTGTACTCCCAGTGTGCTGAGATGAGAAGCAGAGACAGGAGTCTCCCCTGAAGTTTTGGACCAGCTAGACTTGTGTACACAGTGTCAAATAGGCGACAACTGCCTTAAACCAGGTGGAAGGAAGGTGAGGTTGTCCTCTGACCTCCACTATGGTGTGTGTGTCCACCCTCACACCCTAGAGGAAGGAATTTTTTTAAAAAAATGTACTTATGTATATAAGTACTTTATCTGCATATACACCTGCTTGCAGAAGAAGGCATCAGATCCCAGTATAGATGGTTGCTGGGTACTGAACTTAAGACCTCTGGGAGAGCAGTCAGTACTCTTAACCACTGAACAATCTCTCAGACCAGGAAATTATTATTATTATTATTATTTAAAATGTAAAATTGAAGCCAGGTGGTGGTGGTGCATGCCTTTAATCCCAGCACTCATGGGGCAGAAGCATGTGGATCTCTGTGAGTCTGACGCTAGCCTGGTTTACAGAGCAAGTTCCAGGACAGCCAGGGCTATACAAAGAAAAACCCTGTCTTGAAGAAACAACAACAAAATCAAGGTTGAATTTGATGAAAGGATCTCACTCTCCTGGAACTATCTGTTGTGGTGACAAGGAATTTACTGGAAAATACTTTCGGGATTAACCCTTGCATTGCAGAAACAACTTTCTTTTGAGCCAAGATTCACAGTTACAAAAGGATAGTTCAGCCCTTTGGAGGAGACACACAGGTGACACAGAAAGTGGCCCAGCGTGGGAAGCAAAAAGGCTGCCTGCATCTGCCCAGTACCCTGGTTGAGCCTACCTTCTTCTCTTTGGTTTTGTCCATCATTAGACCATATTACCTTGGAGGAAGAGCCTAAACTCCACCCTCCAAAGCTAGTATCAGAAGTGAAGAGGATCTGCCAGCCAGGCTGGTGTCTTGGCAAGCTATTTTCTCAAGGTGGTATTAACAGAGTCCTGACTTTCTCACTAGCAAAGCTGGTCCCCAGATTGGTCTTAGCAGTCAACAGGGGCTGGTAAGCTGCTGGGTGAACCCGTCCATCGGATACCAGTCTGTAGCTGCTGGGGTCATCCAAATCCTGCTTGGCTTCTTATATTCTCCTTGCCTTATTGGGAAATGGGGTTTACCATCAATTTACTCCACAAATGGGTCATGACAGTACCTGTCTGTGACCAAGCCCAGAAAGGACACAGGCCTCTAGTTTTCAAGTGGACCTGTAGTAAGCCAGCATGCCTGGGGACATGTTCATGCCACTCAGCTCTTCCCACTCTTACTGTGAGGCAGAACGGCATGGCATCTACATAAGGCACCCCAGCAATACTCACTGGCTGTACAAGGATGTCCAAGAGGCCTGGGCTGCTTCTCTGCCTGCGTGGCCTTCTGACAGCAGGCTTCATTCCCCACACCTGCTGGCCTGTGTATGCCAAGCAGGCAAGGCTGCCTGGAGCCAGGCACGGCGGCATTTATGGGGTGTGGGAGTGCCAGGCAGACAGGCTGTATGAGACAGTTGCCTGGGAAACATCGCAGGATCCGCCAGGCAGCAGAGTGGTTGTTCAGGCCCACACATGGGGTGTGGGGGCAAGGGTGTGTTGGGGGAAGGGAAGGCTCAGACATTGCGGCTCCCTTACGGTACCTCTTCATGCCTCCAACTGGGGATTGAGGTCAGGACCTACCCATGGTCAACAGGCGAAAGCCAAGGGTGTAGCAATCTCACCCCAAAAACCAAGGGACACTGGAGGAGAGGGCACAAGGGGGAAGGGACCTTGCTTCATTTCAGGTCACACTTCTACCTGGTCACTTCTGTCAGTTCACAGTGACATTCTGACATTCAACAAACTCTTCCAGCCACTTTTCCAAACCATCTCATGGCTCAGTCCATGTTCAGTCCAGGGGCTGTGCCTTTCTCCTCCAGCCCTAAGTCCCAGCCTTAATGGGATGCTTTCCAGTCTTGCCCCCTAATGCCTTTCTAGGTTTTCCTGAAGCACAACCGTAGGGCAACTTCCAGAGGGCAGCCCTGTGTACTCTGCCCTAGCTGTGCCCAGAGCTTCAGAGAGACCGTGGGGCCACAGACATAGCAGAGAGAGGGACAGAGCCATAGGGAGCAGGATGGCAGAAAGGGGGAAAACTTGGGGCCCCTCCTGTGGCGATAATAAGTCAAGCAGAAACCAAGCTTTCCTGGTGTATAGGGTGAGTGGGAGCCCCAGGGGACTCCCCAGGGAGGCTGTGGTTTCTCAGCTCCCACAGAGTCAGCTTTGACCCGGATCCAACAGCATTTACAGGAAACCTGCACATGGGAAGGCCCTTGACCCAGATGCCAGAGATCTCTTAACCTTCTGGGCCCCTCAACCAGGTGGATACATGTTTCCAAAAGCATCTGAAGTAAACAAATTGTGGGCAGTCTTTACCATAACTATCAATTTCAGGCTGTGTACTGGCTACATTTTAACTTTCTGATTTGGGTTTTGGTTTTTAGTTGCTGTTGATTTTTTTTTTCTCCTTTCACCCCTGGGGATAGAACTCTAGGCACGCTACTTGAGTGAGCTGCACCCCCACCGTATAGTTTGAACTGCTTAGAGTCTTTCACATGGTACCACCTGAACACCCGGATTCTGCTTGCACTGGAAAATCAAACCAGTGGGCCACATAGCTCAGGCTCCTGAGGTCCAGTGATACAAGGAGAAGAGCAACTTCTCTGGACTTAATGGCACTTTTCAGAAGAAACCAAAATGCTAGGTGGGGGTGGGGTATTCTGTCTTGTGTTTGCTCACCTGGAAGATCTGTATTTTATAAGGGAAAAAAAAATGACCTGAAAGGTATTTGGCTCAATTAATGTGAACGTGTGTGTGTGTGTGTGTGTGTGTGTGTGTGTGTGTGTGTTTCCATATGTGTGTATGTACTTGTCAAAATCAGAGACTGATGACAGGAGTCATTCCTCAGCCTCTGTCCACCTTATTCTCTGAGACGATGGGACTGAATTCACCAGTTAGGGTAGGCTTGCTGGCCAGTGAACCCAAGAATCCGGTTGTTCTACCTCCCCAGTGCTGAAATTACAAGTGATCCTATCTTTTTAGATGGGATTTTGAAAATCAAACTCTGGTCTTTCATGTTTGTGTAGCGAGTACTTTTCTGATAGAGCGATATCCCCCAATTCCCTGGCCCACATTTTTATACTTCCCCACCACTGTGCTCCTTGTAGACTGGAGACGCGGGCTTAGTTAGGGCTGTCCCAGTAAAACCTGAGCACTGCCAGACTCTTGAGCCTTGACCCCAGATATTGCTGTGCATGCCCTCAGCATCCTATCTTCCTAGTGCCCAAAGAAGTGCCTTCTTTCCCCCGGATTATTCTCCATGTGTTACTCTGAAACCATAGCACCAAGACGACCAGATCCATGTCACCCCACTTCTGTGTAAGATACTGCTGAAATAGAAAGCATTTGCTTCCTCTCTATGGGGCTTCCTATGTGGGTCTATGCATAGTTCCTATCTGGCTAGGGATTGTAGGCAGCCCTCAGTGGAGCAAGTAGCAACCTCATGTCTCTATGGGACAGGGGTAGCCCTGCCTTCCAATCTACTGCTCTTTTTCT